GGGTCACTGCTTTGTGTGGCTCGGGGCCAAAGGGAGAGTTCGGGCTCCTCGTAGGGAGTTCGAGCTCTTAGTAGGGAGGTCGGGCTCTTCTTAGGGAGTTCGGGCTCCTTGTAGGGAGTTTGGGCTCTTAGGGAGTTCGGTCTCCTCGTAGGGAGTTCGGGCTCCTCGTATGGAGTTCGGGCTCCTCGCAGGGAGTTCGATCTCCTCGAGGGGAGTTCAGACTGCTGGTTTCTTTCATTTGGTATTTTCACCCTGGGTACGCTGCTTCAAGTGCCGAGCTACTTGTTTTTTGCCACGTGACGTGATTGCGAGGCCGAGCCAAATCTTCCTTCATCAGGTAGGAAGGCCAAGCCATTGCATCATTTACAAGGAATTCTTTTCAATCCTAGACTAAGCTAGCTATGGCCTATATCATGTAACATTTTTAAACTCGTATATTTTCCCTATTCTTACATGAGTTTTTGTTCAGGAAGATTGTGAACTCAGAACTCTCAAATTAGACCAATCTCATTACTGGTTAAGCACAGAACTAAAATCCAAAGAAAAAGAAAGAAAGAAAATTCTAAGGTGTGGTTTACTTATTGAATGATTATCATAAGCTAGCTAATACATAAATGATTCGAGTATATACTTGGAATGATAATCTTTATCAATATTATTCTGACTTGCCAGCTGGGTGAGTCTGCCATGTCTCTGGATAGAACAAGTCCTTGTTATCCTACAAGTAATGGTATCTTATTAACTACTTATTTTTTATTGGTTGGAGTTAGGTACTATTGCCTCCTCCCTTAAATACTTACTATTGCTTTCTTACTTTTAGGGCTGCAGGTCTTTGATTTTCTAGGGCATGTGCTGGGGTTTTATGGGGGTCCCTTGTCCAGGATGTCTTCCCCTTATTTACACACATTTTATGGTGGTGGGTCCTCCACTCTGAGATGTCTGAGGTCAAACTTTCACTTCAATTCGACCCACTGATTGGTGTTGTTTTGTGGTTAATGGGTTTATCCAGCAAGAGAATTATCAATTGAGTGTGGAGTTCAAGTCAGCTCACAACTAAGTCCCACAGCACATCCCAACCGTGTATTGGAAACATCTCTTGATGATGACAATATCATTTTTAGTATTATCTTTGGGAGATGTTTCCAATACATGGCGGGAATGTGCTGTGACATTGTGGGGGGCTGATTTGATCTCGTGAGTGTGGTCTGAATTGGTGACGTGCACATGTAGATGACAAGCCATACAATTTTAGCAGTCATTACCTAGCTACTTGCTTTCATTTAACAAAACAAAATAACCTACCCACTTCTTCTAGTAGATGTGTGAATGGAAAGTGGATACCGCTAGGGCTGTCAAATTAAATGGGGTGCAACTTTGGCGATTAGGGTTAGGGGTTGAGATCTTGGGCAACCTGATCTCAACATGCATATGTATGCGTGTGTGTGTCCATGCATGTATGCATATATGTACATCAACAATTTTAAGTTTGAAGGTTTAAATTCTCTATAATATTATAATTAATATTACATAAAATAATACATTTAAAGAACCGTAAAGCAATAGTAAAGCTGTATCTTAGCTAGGGCTGCAACTTGGGTTGGGTTGTTCTGAATCCAACCCGAACTCAACCCAAAAACTAGAATTCGGTGAAGTTAGGGTTGAGGTCCTATCCGACCTGACCTGACCTGACCCGACCTGACCCAAATTCGACTTAATTTCATATTTGCATCAATAAATAGCATTTATGCATGCAAGTACTTTTGTATATGCATATTCATTATTTATGTATTTATCCATTGTCGATCTATATTTTATGTCAATAATTTATTTTAAAGATTTTTTTTTTCTAAAATATGATAGTAATGATTTTTACACACAACAATGCTAATATTGAATAATCATGAACGCTTAGAATCTAAGAAATAAATAATTTGGCAAAAGGAAGTAAAGAAATTTGACCAACCCGAACCCAATCTGAATACAACTTGATCCTAACCCAATGATTTGGGGTGAGTATTAGGGTTAGGATTGGGGGTTCAACTATTCGGGTTAGGTTAGGGTTGGCCTTAACCCGACCTTAACTCTAAAACCCAACAAGTAGTTTTCTAAAAACAAAGAGGAGTGAAGGAACTGGGTCAACTTGAGCCCAGCCTGAGCACAACCTGAGGGGCGTTCTACAACTTGAGTTGGGCTGTGTCAAGGTAGACCGAGTCATCCTGAACCAATAAGAAGACACCCCCTGACTCAAACCTTGTAAAGTTTATTATACCAACAAAACCTAGAAGGCTAAAACTGTCCCTAGGTGATAGACAAAGTCTATCTTCTCCAAATATCTTACATATCCGCTACAAAATGACAAGTTTAGACATTTTGTATAAAATTATCATAAAAAACCATGAGAAACATATGCATACCTTAGGACGTATCTCTCTGCTAATAAATGTGTTATATATATGGCTTGACCCTAAACATTAATAGCCTTAGAAATCACCTAGGATGAATTTTAAGATGGGTTACAAATATTTTCAAAAGATGTCTCTTTCCCTTTCCACCAGAGTTAACCCAGCATAACTTAACCTGAAAATATAGGATTGGATTAATTTGAGTTAGGGTTGGAAAATCTCAACTTGATATAAAGTTGGGTTAGGGCCGGGTCAATCTTTTAAATAGTGTTTGGTACCATAGTGTTTCAAGCTCGAGAGGGTTCCCTTGTTGGGAATGGGTTCCCTTTATATTTCTTTTTTGAATGAAGAGAGTTCACATCTGCGCCCAATAACACTCCACGGTACATCAGAACCGTGTATTAGGAATATCTCACAATGACTAGTACGGGAGATGTTGAACAATGCATGCTGAGATGTGCATGTGGGGTGCTGATGTAATCTCGAATGAAGAACCTTTTAGAACTATGCCATGTCATCCAGGGTGACCATCTGTCAGCCACTAGCTTGTTCTTATGCTATACATTTAACTTTTGAAACAATCAATGAGATGGTCTCCTTTCCCATAAACAATTACCTAAAATTGG